AAAAACTCAACAGCAAAATCTCTTTCCAGAAATCAGTTACTCAAAATAATCCACAGACCTTGTCGCGAGCATTTTCATGTAGGAACTATTTTCTCTCTACCGAAGTACGCTTGCCATCTGTAACATCAGGCAGATGGAAACATGCATATAGTTTTACCTTGCCTAGCATAACTGAGCTAGCTGACGTAACATCTCAGCTGAGGAGGTCACCATTAATGTTTTCATCTTGCACTGTAATGAGCGTCTTGTCCATGAGTAGATGCACGCTTCCTTCTGCGCAGTAACACGGTTAGCAAGAAAATAGTTCCTTCTTGAAACTGCTCACAACAAGTTCTGTGGATTATCTTGAGTAACCAGGTCATGATTTCTGGAGAGAAACATTGCTGTTGAGTTTATCAAACATTTTATTTTTACACTTTGAACACCACAAGCTGAGTGCCGTCGATGCCGTAGATCCATTGTATCGAAGAGACGGCAGACATCTCTATGGTCAATATCTCCAACACTCAGCAGCTCACACCAAAATAATCTAGACTGATGAATAGCACTACAGGTAAGAGCAAAAATATGTATGTTTGATTTTGGGGTGAACTGTCCCTTTAACTAAACATATAAATAGCAGACTTGTGTAGGATTCTGAGGTCTTTTGATTCCTTTTAAAAACAATATAACTTGTTTCAGTTTAACTCTAGTCACTACCACACAGGAAGTGTGTCAGCTAGGGTTGTTAACTTTGCCCTGACAGATTTTAAAAAGCTGTAAGCTCACTATTCATTTGATTTCTGTCTGGTCATCCAAAACTTGTCTCCTCTCATTAAAGCATTCCTCTCTTCTTTGCTCGCTCCTGATTTCTAGCTGTGAGGAACTTTGCTCTGATCCCTCAGCACACCTCTCCAAAGGAAGCTGTGAAGGAAGTGGACGCTCTCTACGATGTTGTGACTGATGTCAGGACCCGCTGGAACACTAACGTGAATACTCGTCCCAGCAAACACACCTACACGCACTAAAATCAACTATGTAAAGCAACAGTGTGTGAGATTTAGGGGGATGAAGTGGCATCTAGTGGTGAGGATTGCAGGATTGAGGATTCTCCCGCTTAGAATTGCTCATTATTCAGGAAGTTTTTTAACCAGGGGACAGCTAACTACGGTGGCGGACACCAAAACATGTCAATGGCGTTATCTAGGTGTTTTGGACTACTTTAGAAACATGGTAGTGCAACATAGCAATCACTGTGGATGAGGACCAGGGGTCATGTTTATAAAGCAGTGCATAGGATCAGTACTTAAAAATGTACCTACGGACGCCATCTGCATCACCAACTTTCCGTCTCCAAAATGTTCGTAAGCATGGGTCAAAGTTTCTCCCATCAAGTCTGTTTTTATAGATCACAACTTTTCCTTCGGAAGTGGTGTACGCCTCTTTCAGGCCTCGTTTTGTGCGTATAATGTTTATAAATGAGACCCTAGACTTTATAGAAAGCCACTCAGCCTTGCAGTCAATTTTTCCCAGTGGCCACTTGTGGTATTGCAGCATAAAACTCCCCAGTGGTCCAAAAACCATTTTCCCCAGAGGCCACCGTTATAAAAACGACGTCTGTAAGACTGTTAACAGGACACCTCGAACTGCAAACGAGGTCAATTATGACTCTTTGAACGATGGATTTTTGATCCATGGAGGTTTGATATTTATAAAATGTTCCCGTAGTGGAGAAAAGCGATTTAAAAATTTGTGGTGTTATCACAATTTTAGGTCTATGAGCAGAGGAATGATTTAATTTTGCTGATCAAATCCTGATGTTGGGATGCTCAAAAAAATGTACCTGCTGATTTAAATTACAGACATCTCTTTTCCAAAGTAAATCACAGAAAAAAAAGACTTTTTGGGCCGAGCCCAGCGGACACTCACAGTTGGAGCCAGTGGGATAAACACTACTGCTCAAATTTAGTGGGCTTCAAAAGCCAGAAACTTTTTTGGCGTATGCGAGCAACTCCATTAGAATGAATAGGCGCTATCTCAGGGACCTGCTCCCTATGTAGATATAAACGTCTCATTCTAAGGTAACAAAAACATAATGATTTGTATTTACAGGTGATTATACACTCAAGAACACAGACTTATTATATTATATTCCATTACTGCCAATATATCCCCCTGAATCTTACACACTGGAGCTTTAAAGGTGGAATGCAAAGGATAATTAGTTTGGTAACTTATGAGTGGATGATGTCACTCTCCCTGCAGGACATCGTGCTGCTGGGCGACTTCAACGCAGGCTGCAATTACGTGTCGGGCTCTGACTGGCAGCAGATCCGCCTCTTCAACGACAAGAGCTTCCACTGGCTGATCACCGACAAGGCCGACACTACTGTGACGCAAACCACTCACTGCCCTTACGACAGGTACACACACACACACACACACACAGTCACCTGCATGCACACACATGCACTCTTAATTGCAGCATTCTTCCTGTATCTGCAGGATCGTGGTCACCACTGACATGATGAGGGGCGTGGTGCACGGCAGCGCTCAGGTCTACGACTTCATGATGGACCTGGGTCTCAGCCACAGTCTGGTAACAACAACTTTAGATTTAATTCTCCTCAATAATGTCATTCGCTTCAGCTGCAAAAAGGCTGAGACTATAACAAGCAACTTGGCTGGCTGAAGATCTCATTTCTGGTTGACCTCCAGTAGTTTCTATGGCAGGAAATGGCACTTCAAAATAAAATATCTGTGCCAGAAGTTCACTTCACTTCAGAATGGACCCGCGACCCACCAGTTGGGAAACACTGCTTTAGAGTACACAGTTAAACATGTTATACAAGGAAGACAATATCTGTTTTCTGTTTAACTGTGCAAATCTTCTGTACGCCAACCACATGAAAACTCTACATTTCCTCTGTCTCCCTCAGGCGTTGGCTGTCAGTGACCATTTCCCTGTGGAGGTGGAGCTGATTCCTGCTGCTGCCTAAATCATGACTCCCACAACGGTGCACAACACCTCCAGGCTGAATCTGAATTATGATCACACAGTGGGGGAACTGACTGCTTCCATACAGCATCGAATTACAAGACAAAAATAAATAAATCTGCCAAATCATTTCATTGAAAAGTTGCTTCTTGGAACTGGCATGTGAACAGGAAGAGTCAAGTCTCTTATTGAACAGCATAAAAGAGGAGGTGGATGGAAAAAAAAAACTCTTAGAAACATTTAGAAAAGATCTTTAGAAAAATAAAACTGCTCCACACTCACCTTTAGACACATTTTTGTCCGTTTTAGAGGGGGTCTGTTTAGGGATCTTTAGAGGGAGACAGCAGGTGAACAGTTGATGCCACACAGACGTGGTTCACATCATCTGAAAGCTTGGACTCTTAAAATGAATCTGAGACTCAGCTCAGCAGTGTGTGATAAGCTTTTCAGTCATTGTGTTCAAGTTAGTCCCCTGTTGAGAAAGTTTAGGGTGTATAAAGGCTTATGATGAAGCCTATGATGTATAAGACGGCCATTTCCACGCTCGATTATGTCACATCATTTGTTGCAGCAGTTGGTGCTAAATTTAAGCATTTTTTTTTACAACTCCAGGATTGATGAAAAGGTCAAAAGTTCCTTCAAAACGCCACATAAAATCACCAAGACCCTGAGGAACACTACAGACAAATTCATGCTGTGATTTGATATCAAAAACTTTTGACATTTGGAGATTTCTTTAAGAAATCTACGATTGGATGGTGAGCACTTCTGTTGTGGAAACTGCTGAGAAACCCCCTTAATGTTAACATGCCTGTGAAAGCCAACCACCCTCTGAATGCTTGAGGTCTCTAGTTTGTGGTTGTTAAGTTTCATGAGGCTGTGATTATCCTAGAGGTCACTGTAAGTCATTTTATACAGTGAGGTCAATGTTCAAAATGGTCTTGCCCCATGAAATGGCTACTACGGGGGTTAACATCATCACACATGAATAAAACTGGGCTCAATGAATCCACAAGAGTCTCAGCTTTGGAGTTATACCCAATTCATATAATTCTAAGACTGTTTAAGCAGCCTAGTGTGAAGAAATATTCAAATACAATAGGCGAAAATAACACATTTGTACTACATGAAAGAAATTGCATGGGTTTGTCCCAGACTGCATGACACTAGGAAAAAGTGGGCATATCTCTGAAGGGGAGTGTAGCGACTACTGTCAATGAAAAAAGCCGTTAAGAGGCTGAGTGGGCTCTTAACTGTGACATGTTCAATAATGTCCATGCTGAAGTCTAAAGATGGGGTTTCATGGTGATTTATTAAACTAACAACTGAGAAAACTAAAGCAAAATGAGATGAAATATTACGTGATTGTGGTTATGCTCAAATGGAAAATATTGGGGCCAAAACTCCCTCTCTTTGTCTAAAAGCTGCCACGCCAGTGAATGAACAGGTATGATCATGTGAAAGCACACACACACCTGTGCCAGTTACTACTGGAAGTGACAATGATCAAAAGAAATGTGCAGCCTAAGGTTAAATTCACATTCTGGCTCCTACAGGGAGACTCGTGGGTACCTATCGAACGCATTTTCATTCAGATATCTTGAGGTTAGAGGTCAAAGGTCCCCTGTGAAAATGGCGGAGCCAGTTTTCCCCTCACCAAATTTGCTGTGTCATTTAACCCCCTTTCCAACAAGCTGAAAAACAGTAACATCAGTCGAGGATGGTGGCGTCTCAGGGGAACAGAAAAGGCTCAAATTTGACTGTCTACATAAGAGAAGGACAACACTTATTCAAACAAACTAGGTAAATGAATCTCAGGGGACGTTTTTCTGTTGTCATTTTTTCAATGTCTGAAGCAGAACAATGAAAAGAGCGTTCACCTTTACTGTATCAAATCTTTGCACATAAAACTGAAGCTGTCTGCATATTATAAGACCAGCGGTAGTAGTGTGTCTGTCTCTGTTGCCTTCACAGGTGAGATTTTATTTCTCAAGTTCTGCCAAAAAGAAAAGTGACAATGTGATTTTGATCCTTCAGTTCATTCTTTAATTATCACACCTATAAATCCACTGACCACATAAATACACACACTTATAAAGATATTTCAAGCTCAAAAGAAGTCAGAAAAATGGACTGCGGATAAATCTGTCAGAGGCTTCGCCCACTGTGGGCTGTCAAAAGCACCCAAGGTTACTTTCATGTGTTGTAATGGTTCTTGAAGGTACAGTGAAGCTTGGCACTTGGTTGAGATCGGTCTGTGGCAATAACTGTTAACTAAACCCTCATCACAGCTTAGCAACCGTAACCAGGCACAGTAGGTCTGTCAAGCTTTGAATGAGTGTAAGTGTGACAGTGTAGTGTCTGCGTTCCATTAGTCGTTTATCGTTCACTTCCCCTCTTCACTTGCTCTCAGACAACCGCCGCCACTGTCACAGGAGTGGTTCCACGTGTCTGAAAAACGTCAGTGAACTTGGCACGTCATAAACAGATGCAGCTAATCACCAAGTGCCTGCTCGTGTATTAAAATTACCCGCAAAAGACGCTTTCGCCTCACTGAAATCAGCCTAACAAGCTGACTAAATATTTCTCAAAATAAGTGGAACGTTTTGAAACTAAGCTGTGATTTATGGAAGTTACTTTCACTATCGTCGGTAGAAATATGAACAGAAAATTTGTCACTGGATCATTGGTGTCACTCCCGGGTGTTTCCCTCGAAGTCGCTGGTTTAACACTGCGATGAAGATGAGCTGCATTGAAGGATCTCAGGACAGCTGACACCAATGAACACATGACACTGGGTTTTCAACTGGTATTAATGTGTGTGTCCCTACTGCGTGTATGTGTGTGTCATCTTATAGGTTTCCCATAGTCCTCTATCCTCGTCTCTTCTTCAGCATCTCCATATACATGCCGAGCGACTTCTGAATGGAGTCTTTGGAGATGAAGTTGACAAAGTGCTGGATGTCGGCCTCTCTGTTGGACGTCAGCTTGTCGATGGTCGGCTTCCTCATCATGGACTTGGTGAGGTGTCTGGCGTGGTCTGTAAAGTGAACACATCAGCAGTTCAGCTCACAGATTATTTGTGTTTCTGCCCCTACGTTAATGCTGGTACTGGTGATTTGATCGGTAGCATAAACTTGAGTCTGACATGTGACATGTGTGAATCAATATCAGTTTAATATACCTGGAATAGCCAACCACTTGCTCATCATCTGTGTGGCTGTGGTGAGGACCTGGTCTTCAGGTACCAGCTGGTCCACCAGTCCTATCTTCAGGGCCTCTGAGGGGTTGTAGAGGAGCCCCAGCTCCAGAGCCATCTCCGTCTGTCGGTGGCCCACCGTGTTGGACATGGTGTCTTTAAACCTGCAGACAGCAGCAGTGATCGTCAGTCAGGAGGAACAGTGCAGGGGGTTTCCAACACTATCGGTTGTTGTCATACTCAATTCCATACCAAGGAGGTGCTACGATGCCCAACAGCGTCTCATTGAGGCCGATAGTGTAACGAGGGTTGTCAGCCATTATCCTGTAGTCACATGTCATTGACATCAGACAGCCACCTGCAGGACTGGAACCCTGTGGGAGGAGTGACGAGGTCGGCTAAGGCACAATCTGCAAAACGTTTGTTTTATTTATCTGCTGATGATTGTTGAGTTGTCCCTCAACCACAGTGACTACCAGTGGATGGTGATGGTGGTGGTGGTGGTGGTGGTGGTGGTGGTGGTGGTGAGGGGTTTATACGTACATTGATTGCAGCGATAGTGACCATGTTGGAGCCGTAGAGTTTCAGCCACATCTCCTGAACGGCTCTCCAGAACTCTCTATAGTGCTCTGGACTCTTCCCGTACATTTCCAAGATGTCCAGCCCGGCTGAGAACACCTTGGGCTGGTTCTGGATCGAAACAACACACACACAAAGGATAAACTGTCAATTTGTACTGCATTATCTAACTAGATTTACCACCTCACGGTTGTACGCCTCCACAGTTTATATTCATGTCTGTGAAAACATGGATGCTTCATACACATCTTTCCCTCAAGCTATTCAGTGTCTGACCAAATGTCTCCCCTTCTGTTGCTCAGTTATAAAGTTGACTGACGGCCAGAAGTGTTTTTGCAGAACATTATGATGTTACAGTGAAGTTGACCTTTGACCCTTTGTATATGAATTGTCATTGCTCCATCGTTTTATCCTATTCAACATTTGTGTGAAATATTGTCACAATTAGCACATAAACTCTTGAGTTAGGACAAAAGACATGTTTTGTGAAGTCACAGTGACCTTGAACCTTCAACCACCAAATCCTGATCAGTTCCTTCTTGAGTCCAAGTGGACGTTTGTGCCAAATTTGAAGAAATCCCTCACCGTGTTCTTGAGATATTGCGTTCATGAGAATGAGATGAATGCAAGGACACAGTGACCTTGACCTTGACCTCTGACCACCAAATTCTGATCAGTTCATTGATGTGGACGTTGGGTCCCAATTTCAAGAAATTCCCACAAGGTGTTTTTTTTTTTAAATATCACGTTTTACAAAAATGAGACCGATGAGTTCACAGTGTCCACGTTCACAAGAATGCGACCTACAAGGTCACACTTTGACCAGCAAAGTTTAATCAGTTCATCCTTGACTGAAAGTGGACGTTTGCGCAAAATTTGAAGGCATTCCCTTGAGGTATTCTTGAGATATCGCGTTCATGAGAATGAGATGGATGCACAGTCACAGTAACCTTGACCTTTGACCTCCAAATTCTGATCAATATATTGATAAGTACAAGTGGATGTTTGTGATAAATTTAAAGAAATTCCCTCAAGGTATTCTTGATATTGCGTTCATGAGAATGAGATGGATGAAAGGTCACACTAATCTTGACCTTTGACCTCCAAAATCTAATCAATTCATCCTTTACTCAACGTGGACGCTTGTGCCAAATTTGGAAAAAAAAAAAAAAATATATTCAAGGCATTCTTGAGATATCATATTAACGAGAATGAGACAAACGAGTTTACAATAACCTTGACCTTTGACCTACGACCACTAAAATCTTATCAGTTCATCACTAAATCAAGGCGGACATCTGTGTCAAATTAGTAGAAATTCCTTCAAGGCATTCTTGAGATATCACGTTTATGAGAATGTGACTGCCAAGGTCACACTGACGTTAACCTTTTCCCTTTGACCAGCAAAGTTCAATCAGTTCAGCCTTGACTCCTTAATGTTTGTGCCAAATTTAAAGGCATTTCCCTGAAATACTCTTGAGATATTGCGTTCATGAGAATGGTGATAAAAAACACGAAAAAACAGTAATCGCTGGCACAGAGACAGAAGTATTGTGCAGTGAAAATCCCACATCAATGAAATAATATTTGAATACAGACAGTGTTCTCTATAAAGCAAGTACGAGCCATTTTATAATTCACTTTAACTACTTGTAATACGAACACAAAGTCAGAAGACACATCCTGAATCTCCTGCTTTAAACAATTGTGTTTTACCATACCGAAGTGATGATGACGCCTCGGCAGCTCTTATCCATCTCCAGCTTCTCCACACTGATGCAGAGCTCCGTGAGGAAATCTAAACTCAGGCTGTTGACCGGCGGACTCTGGAAGCGCATCACCGCCACACCTACAGAGACACAGAGAGGCTCATCGTTAAATACAGATTCATTCCAAAATAAAAACAAATGAAGTGAAAGGGTAGGAATGATGACACAGAATATGAAGTCTCAGCTCTAATTGTGTTTTACAGTCAGTTAAAGGACGTGTAGCAGTATCTAAAGCATTTTCCCAATAGACTACTGTTATAAAAGAGACATCTGTAAAACTGAAAATGTACAGAGGTCTCTTTCCCATGGTAAGTCATTGGAAAGAAGACTGTTTGGGTCACGAGGCATCATGTGACAGACCCAGAAATTGCAGTACCACTGTTTGGCCATTACGAAAATTATCTTCAAAGCCCGGTGCACTTTCTGGGGGCCTGGGAGGAGCTCTTGGTTGGGCCCAGCGGGTGAAACACTACTACACATATTCAGTGGACTGCGTGTCATCAAGTAAACCCAGAGCTAGAAACTTTTCTTGGTGTATGCCCAAGGCGAACAACTCCATTGGAACGAACAGACGCCGTCTTGGTGTGCGATATCTAGGCAAAAGTGGCATTTATGTGTGTCTAAAAGGAGAGGAGAGGACTGTGGACGCGGGAAAAGATAGAGCTCAAAGTGTATTTATTAGCGTCTACTAGCATTTAGCATTGTCGCACTGATCAGCGCATCATTTCATGCTGCATTTCTATTGGATGATTAATAGATGTAGGTGGTAACAGCAGTCACACAGTGAGAGGGTCATCCCAAATTTCTAACACTGTCAGAATTTGATCCCAGGCTGTCTTTGATCGCAAGACCGTGACAACGTTGCTCCTTCAACTTCTCTCACTGTGTGACATAGGACCACCATTTGAGAGCCATGACCAAAGATATCGCCACGTTTCTTTAGCACTGCTCATCTCTCATCTGGGACAGCCCAAAATCACACGGTGTGTATGGGGGTCTACACAGGTCTGTCTCCTGTAATGATGCCGACTGACCTGTGCTTTGGTCAAAATCCACTTTAATCTTCTGCGAGGTGGAGTTGTTCCTCCGCTGAGCGAAGAGGACGGGAGACACACACACTCTGCCATTACTGCTGCAGGACGACCACTGGGAAAGAAGTCCTACACACACACATAGACACTGTTAGCAGATGTGTTACAAGTAGTACATATCGATGCATATAGGAAAACCAAAACTAAAATAAAACACATTGAGTTACAACTATCACAGCATTAACGTCATATTATTACAATACTGAAAGTGTTTTTAATGCTTTAGATTACACTAATATGTTATTTTAATTAATCATTATATTAAATGTGATTAAACGTAACTGCTTTTTTAAAAGTAAACTGCATTTTAGGGCTGCAACTAACGATTTCTTCGATTAGTCGACTAATCATTTTATCGAACAATGTGTTAAAATGTTAAAAAATGTCGGTCTGTCTCTCCCAAAACCCAAAATGATGTCATCTAATGTCTTGTTTCATACTCACACCAAAGGGTTTTAGTTCACCGTCATGGGAGAGTGTGTAAAGCTGCCAATATCTGAACGTAAGAAGCTGCAATAAGAGCATTTTGGGTACTTTTATAGTACTTTTATATGAAAAATGACACAAACCGATTAGTCGACGACTAAAATAGTCACTGATTATTTTAATAGTCGATTAGTCATTGATCAAGTAATCGTTGCAGCCCTACTGCATTTATTTGAAATCTTTTCTGTCTTCGGTCGCAGTTAACATGTTGAATTAACATCAATCTAATACAGAGAAAAGTGGCTGAAAGAGAAACAATAAGAAAACTAAACTGAAGCAAAATAAAAATGTATGCCTCAAAGTAGATGAGAAACATCAGAGAAAGCAGATGATACAGAGAATTCAGTAGCACAGTGACAGCTGCAAAATGTGTGGAAAATGATTGCAAACAAAACGCACACAAGCTTTACTGTTGTTGTGTGCACCACTATAAATGCAAGGAAAAAAAGCGGTTTAATGAGCCATCAAATGATCAAATCAAACAATGTTAAAAAATAATTAATTTGATCATTGTTTATATATTAATATTTAGATTGCTTGCTCTTGCCAAACCAACAGTCCAAAACACAAACATATTCAACATATAATAATGTAAGACAGACAAAAGAGCAAATCAGCACAATTGAGAAGCTGGAACGAGGGAATTTCTGACCGGTAAATGATTGATGAACTATCAAAATAGCTGCTAATTAATTTTCTGTCGACCAACTAATCAACTGACTAATTATTACAGCCATACAGTGTATATTACTTCAGATAATGTACTATCACTGATATATATATATATTTTACCAGTAACTCCAAAACATGTCAGAACAGATGTGTGTTCACCTTAAATATTTTCTCTTGACCAAGACCACTAATAATAGTAAGTCCTGGTCTTAAAGCTGCATCATGGTAAGGAGATCAGTGTTGTAAATTAGCACCAGCCACCCCCTAAATGCTGGTAAAATATGCAAGTGACTGCTAAAGGTAATCTGTTAAATGGCTGGTAGATTTTGGAATCCAGCGCCCGCAGTGGCAGGTGGACAAAAAGTTAATTCCCCACCCTGAATGGGACACAAATCAGTGTGGGGACTCATTAGTCACTGACATTAGCTGATGTAAATCCACATCACATATCGTTTAATGTATTTTTCAAAAGTGTGCCTATCCTGTGAAAGCAAAAAACACTCATCCCTTAAATATCAATATGCTTGGCAAGATATTTCCAGTCAGTTAACATGACTTCACTACTGTAACATCTGTTTACCCACCTCTGTTTTAATGTTTGTTTTTTTCTTGTTTGCCTCTCCATTTGATGGTTTGCCATATTTGCTGCCAGGACTGTCTATTTTATTTATTTGTAATATCTTCTATGATTGAAAACTCTAATAAAACACAAAAGATGATTGTATTATTATTACAGGTTCAACTTCTGCTGCAACATTTCAGTGATGAACACTAATAATGTTTAATACATTATCTATAAATGGGCCATTGTGTATAATGAGTATATTTTGATGTGTAATAGAGTGATTATAAACTTGAGCTACTTTTACTTTCTTCCACCTCTGCCTGACATGCTGTGATACTGAAAGCTGAGGTGCAAATGCACAAGCTGGCCTAATTTAAAAGTTTATGTCAGATATATTCATTGATAGATAAAGTTAAGACCCCTGCCATGTCCTGTGACCTTTGTCCCAGTTTCTGCAGCGCACAGCTAACAGAGCTAACAGAGTTAGCACAACTGACAGAACTAACAGAGCAAGTAACACAGCCAAGAGAGCTAACAGAGCTAACAAAACTGACAGAACTAATAATTTACAGCTAACAAAACTAATGAAGCTAACAGAGCTAGCAAAGCTAACAGAACTACTAAAGCTAACAGAGCTAACACAGTTCATAGAGCAAACACAGCTAACAGAGCTAACATAACTTATATAGCTAACAGCCGGAAGTGAGTCGGCATTTATTACAATATTTAATAAATTCCTTTCTTTAAAATCAGGTACATATTCATACAGACATACCTGACAACGTGGACTTGTTCCTCAGTGCAGCTCTCAATGCCATTTTGTCCTGCTAACAAACAGGTTCACACTCTCTGTGCTATGGACTCTGGACCCGCCCTCCTCTGCCTCTGATTGGCTCAGGCACACTGCTGCCTGCCACTAAGGACTCTGGACCCGCCCTCCTCTACCTCTGATTGGCTCAGGCATACTGCTGCCTGAACACAGGAAATGCTCAGGTGTAAATAATATATATTTTTAATTCTCTCTTTATCTCTATAAACAAAAGCCTTCATACAAACACGCGTGTTATAAATTAAATACAAATACACCCATGAATAAATATATTTAACATCTTACAAGCAGTCACAGATTTGATAGCTTTTTGTTTTTGAGCATGTTGAATAGAGAGACTATTGCTTGAACTCATTGTTAAAAGGAATAAAGCATGGTTTTCTACGGAAGCGTATTGCATTCACTTGACAAATAAAAAAAAACCTTGTTTTTCGGAGTAATTTATTTATTTTTCTGTTTTTTTTGGTGTAATTTTTCCTGTTTATCGGAGTAATTTTTCCCTGTTTTTTGTGGTAATTTCTTTCTGTTTTTCGTGGTAATTTTTTTTCCTAAACGAGGAGACAAGATACTTCAAAATCTCGCGAGAAGCTCCCACCTGGCACCTGCAAGTGACCCTTGCATCCATGGTGACTCCTGCTCATGGATGTATTTTGCCTTACCCTTATTGATCCTGCAGTTGAAATTGTCTAGGAGCAGGAGCACGGATGTAAAATACATCCATGAGCAGGAGTCACCATGGATGCAGGGGTCACTTGCAGGTGCCAGGTGAGAGCTTCTCGCGAGATTTTGAAGTATCTCGTCTCCTCGTTCAGGAAAAAAAATTACCACAAAAAACAAACAAAAAAAAAAATACCCCGAAAAACAGAGAAATATTACCACTCAGAAAAACAGGGCTTTTTTATTTGTCAAGTGAATGCAATACGCTTCCGTACTCTGAGGCTTTTTCTTATGTGTGTAACTTTCCAAGATACCAGAAACAACACATTCCTCCAAAGCAAGACAAAACCTTAAAATAAAATCACACATGTTGAGCCAGCCAATAATGAAATCTGTAACAGTGTCAGGATTTGCTGACTCAGATAAAAGTAAAGCACCAGGAACACTGGTACATTTGTTAACTAGTTTACGTTCAACTCAGTTTTGGACAGATTTGGGAACATAGCCTACATTTTTAAAATACTGATCACTCTGTGGAGTTCAGTCTCAAAGATGCTATTTTCATTTTGGAGGTGATGTTAATTCAATAAGTTTTATGACAAACCTCTTGATCCTGACACAAATCTAAATTTGCAAAATCATCTCCCTCTTAAAAGATTTTTTTGATCGAGAAAAGTTTTTTTGAAAACAAAACTATAGTGACCTGATATTAGTCATTTGTTTTTAAATGCTGCCCCTTTTATTTTTTTTAATTGGGCAATTTCAGTCCTTTGCTTTTTTTTTTTGTTTGTTTATTTTTACAATTTCTGCTCTCTGAGATGTCTGACTTTGTATCTGCCACTCTTTTTTTAATAAAGCTGAATTGCAAAGAAAAAAAAAGAAATCTTAGTTAAAGTTAATATCTGCAATGTCTTCCCAAATGTGAGTAACAGATGATCTTTTTGTAACTGTGAGAGGGAAATGATTGAACATGTGTTTGTAGATTTTTTTTTTGATCTACAAAGGAACCTTTCAAAACTTGAAAAAGATGTCACACCAACGGAGGCTCGTTTTTAACAATCCCAATTTCTCAGCTGATGAGAAGTACATAATTAACTTATTATTTTGGCAAAATATTATATACATTCCATTATTGGCTTAAAGGACTGCCCTCCTTTTCTATTTGAAGATACCAATTTTGAGCAAAGTATGAGCAAAGACATTAATGATCCCGTCCTGCCTGCTGTCCTGTTTATAGAGTCGTTTCAGCGCTGTCACTAACTTGCACTTTTTATGCAGAACAACAAGGCGACATAATGGCGTGAAATTCCCACCTTGAAGAGGCCGCGCAAAAGAAGCTATAGACTGTAGTGAAGCCTCACAGACAGCCTGCGACTCAAAGCAGCCCCGCTCTTAAATATGCATAAATGCAAGCCTTAATAAAAAAGAAACAGGTAAGTTAAATAAAAATTCTTCCCCTTTACAGTCTTGAATGTTAAAGTTAGCTATAGAGACCAAAACCTTTTCTTTCTTTCTTTTTTTTTTAATTATATTTTGATCACAGCATGAGGGATATACATACATACACAGAACACTAACCCCCACATCTCAGTTTCCCTCACAGAAAGGAAAAAAAAACAAAACACAAAAAACTTGCCAATGTAGAGGGTACTATAAAAAGTCAAATCTCTCAGAGTCCATACAGACCAAGACATATTTCATAGGTGCCATCATCATGGCAAGTAATCCAACCAAAATTCTACTCATTACATTAACTGAAAACACTAAGTAGGCCCCCCATATCAATGAAATTGAAATAATTAGGTAGTCTTCCTACCATACTTCATGATGTAGGGAATTTATAAACAAATAGAAAAGGGAAACACTTCATGTCCTGATTTTCCTATCCTAAGTAGAGGCTGGTACCCTTATAAACAGTTAGAGAACCAAAATGATATCCAAACATATACCCTCATAACAAACAGAAACAAAACAACAAAACCAAAAACCTGACCAAACAAACAGACATAAAAAGTGGGAAGACCCCACCTATCTCAAGGCAATTGAATCGAACGCAACTGGACTTGGTTTTGTCTTAGAATCTTAGAATTTCTAAGACAAAACCAAGTCCAGTTGCGTTCGATTCAATTGCCTTGAGATAACTATGACCTGGATGAATGAGAATATCCACAGGCAAGACCCCACCTACAACAAACAAGACAACAAAACAACACAAACTATTGCATTCACGTCTTATCATTGTCACCATGCTTTAAATTTTATATGAGATTGCCATATTTTTAAAAAGTCTGAGGATCTGATTTACTCTTGTAATACATATTGTCAAGTGTAAGGTAGCTTGAGAGTTCATTCCACCAGTGGACTATTACTGGGGGTTTGGATTCTTTCCAGTTTAAAGTTATACATTTCCTGGCTGCCAACATAGCAAGATCTATATATCTGCTTTGATATTTGTTCCACTTATCAGACATACTAGTTCCCAAAAGGCATAAACGAGGTGACAGAGAGACAGATACATGTAGACATTGAGATATCAACTTTGTAACAGAATTCCAAAAACAGGAAAGTGCGTCACATGACCAAAACATGTGAAAAAATGTTCCTTTTTGTTTCTTACAGCGCCAGCAGAGAAATGACATCTCACTGTTCATTTTATGTAACTTCTCTGGCGTATAATAAATCCTGTGTATCATCTTAAACAGGGCTGGTTTATGCCTTAGATTGTAAGAGCATTTATAAACTTGCCTACAAATGTAAGACCAATCCTCTCTCTGTATTTCCATATGAAGATCTTGTTCCCACTTACATCTTAAATTATCTGTATTTATAACAGAACATTCAACAAAAATATTGTAGACCTCAGATGTTCTGCTCCTCATTGTTTAATATGACATCAATTTTTGATGGCATAGGTTCTTGAAGAGAACCATTCTCAGTATTTACCACGTCTTAAATGAAAAAATCGAAATAAATGAGAAGAAGGTAATCCATATTTCTGTTGTAGCTGAACAAATGAAAGAAATGTCCCATTTTCAAACAGATGACAGAATTCCTGGATACCTTTATCATACCAAAATTTAAAAGTGTCATCCTTACAACATGTAATACTTGGATTCTTCCAAATTGGGGAAAAGGAAGAAAGGGAGATCGTATAGCCTAACAATTTATGAGACAATTTCCAGATACTAAAACTATTTAATATAACTGGATTCTTAGTAATTTTATCCACTTCTTTGAGCTCAATATGAGGTAAATGTTTTAAGCTGTATGGAAGGATATCCAAAGATTCTATTCTTTTCCATGAGCTTGAAATATTTAAAAACCATTGTTTAAATTGATTAAGCTGCGATGACAAAAAATAGTAATAAAAATTGGGAAGCTTCAGGCCACCAGATTTGTATGGTAAATGTAACACTGACATCCGAACACGTGGGGTTTTATTGTTCCATATGAAGGAGGAAACTAAACTCTGTACTTTTTTAAAGAAAGACTGTGGTGGAATGATCGGAAGATTTTGAAATAAATATAAAAAGAGACCAAAACCTTTTCTACCAGGCTGTAAACATGTTTATTTCCTGCCACTTGGTGACATCATTAGCTGTGCAAATAATTTATACAGTCTATGGCTGCAATCTGCAACCTCATCACTAGATGTCACTTAATCCTTCACGCTGCTCCTTTAAATCAAGGATCTGAATACTTCCTCCACTGCCTGTTGTTAAACTGTGTACTAAAGAACTAATGAAAAGGTATTTTAACAGTTTCAGGGTATTCTGATCCTGAAACTATTGCAACGTGGAAATTACTTAGCACTGTGAAAAAGTGATTTCATAGGAAGATGCTATAAATTGTTAGTGAACATTTACTCCTATGAAGTGAAATAATGTCAAACAGCTTTAGTGTAGATGGCAGTGCAGGCGGTTCAGAGAGAGATAAGGGGGAGTGAGTGAGGGGAGAGACAGATGTGTGTGTGTAAATCACCAAGGCACAAGTGTGTGATCGCAGCAGAGAGATACACCAGCGACAGAAGCTCCTCCAAATCAGTGAGTATCTTATTTTAACTTAAATCCACATTTATGTGTGTACATGTAATTTTGTTCAGCTGTAACCAGGATTGTACAGTTCCAGGTTCAGATTGATTAGCAGGTGGAGGCAAAAATGATAAAAATGACTTTATAATTAGCTCATTCTCAGTGATATTGATGCTTTCACTGATTAAAAGTAAGAACAAAAGGAATTAGGAATTAAAGAGCAATCCAATCTTTGATAAATGGACCATAACTGTGTTGAGATTTAAGATGTGTACCCCCATATGTGCACAGCAGTTTCTCAGCGTTAATAAATGTTAATCTTTCAGGGATTTGGAGCTATTAACTACCTTAAAAACAACATAAACAGTGGCATGTAGTTTCAAAGTGCACATCCTCTCTGCACGTGTGTCTATTCATACATGTAAGCAGTATTTCATGCATTTATTTGTGTGATTTCCTGGAAGTGTGTTTTGTTTCCTCCAGACTTTTCCATCCTGACCATCTCCTCCAGTGTTCACTGCCATTGGAAATCCATCGGTGTGCGTCACCTCTGCACCCTGTAACCTGGGACACACACACCTCTCCCCCGCCGCTTTCTCAGTTTTCACGTCCTCTGTCCGGCCCCACCCTGCGCCATCATGGATCTTACAGAGTTGGGAGACATGGGCAGTGGCTGCGAAGATGAAAACTGTGGCCTCACGTCTGGTTTCCAAGAGGACTGCTCCAACCAAGAGTGCCACTGGAAGGAACCTCTGTTTGGACTCATTGAGTTAGGTGGGTAAAGACAATAGGAAACAAACACTACTGCATGATGTTTAATGGAAATTTAAAGCTGCACCGGGCAAGACTTTAGGGGGGAGAAATCACACATATATAAAGTCTTTGTTCCTTTTGAAGTTGGGTTAATTTAAGTGAAGGAAATTGTTGACAGTACAATCCAAAACTCCTTGACTGGATGTTTCCCCTCAGCCCAGTCACCAGAGGATGTTGGCGTTGTAGTCTACATTGCTGGAAACTATGTTACATTTGTACATTTCATACGTATCATATCAATGTTTCTAAAGTGATGTAGTATGTGAGCTGACTTTGTCATCAAGAGGTGGATGCTGTCACACCTTGGCGAGACACTTACTAAGCTGTAGACCTCTGTTTGGGACCAACAATCAGCTAAAATCAGCTGTGTTTTATTGAATCATCGCTGCATTTCCAGCAACTTTTTAGCCACCAAACATGGGTGGTTTTTAGCGATCCCTTACTGTTCTTCCACCTGGTATAGTGCAAGAAAAGTGACTGTATTTTTTTACAGAGATATTGAGGCAATTCCTGCTGTCATAGTGCCATGAAAAGCATTTTTATCTGAGACATCACTGCGTTTCCAGCAGCTTTTTAGCCACCAAACATGGATGTTTTTTAGAGACCCCTTGCTGTTCTTCCACCTGGTATAGTGCAAGAAAAGTGACTGTTTTTTACAGAGATAATGTGGCAATTCCTGCTGTCATAGTGCCATGAAAACGTTGTTTTACTGAGACACTGCTGCATTTCTAGCAGCTTTTTAGCCACCAAACATGGGTGGTTTTTAGTTATCCCTTGCTGTTTTTCCACCTGGTATAGTGCACGAAAAGTGTATTTTTTTTAAGAGAGATATTGTGGCAATTCCTGCTGGGGTAGTGCAATGAAATGTATTTTTATTTGAGACATTGCTGTGTTTCCAGCAGCTTTTTAGCCACCAAACGTGGATGTTTTTTAGTGACCCGTTGCTGTGTTACCACCAGGGATAGTGCCACAAAAAGTGATTGTGTTATACCGAGACACTGCTGGCTTTTCTGCTGGCATAAAGCTATGAAGGGCAGTTGTGACATCAACAGCGGGTATTTCCAGCTTAAACATGATCTTTTCCTAACAGCTGCTGAAACGTAAATAAATGTAAAGTTTCAACGTATCTGCTACATAAAAACATACAAATGTAACGTATCGGTGGTTTGCAGAAACATAGCATGCCAACATTTATTCTGGTAACTGGGTTGTTTCCTTCGTTTATTTAATATTGAAGAAATAGTTCAGTAATTTGGGAGATATGCTTATTCGCTGTGCTTGATTGTTCTATCTAGTGCTGAAATTCTCAATATGTGAAGAAATGAAACTAGACGCATTTCCTCCTTTGCTTCTCTCCACTGGCGGTACCTATCTGACTGTCACCACTCCCTTCCTGTCTTTCGTTTGGCACCGCAGCTGCATGAAGGGGCGGAGCTGTCCTGCACATCCTGTGTGCGGTCCACGTCATCCTCCTCTTCATCTTCATCCACCTGAATATCACTATCTGACCTGTTGAAAGTAGCTGTCTGAGTTATGAAATAATTCTGTGTGCACTGTTCCTCTGTCTTGTCGCGGCTGTTTCCCGACGCCACATCTTCACTGATTCTCGATCAAACGTCTCTAAAGGCTCTGACAGGTGCAGAAAATTAAATTTTAATAACAGATGAAAGTTTGATGAATTCATATTTATTTTTAGAAGTCGCATGAAGTTGTGTTTTTTTTTTTTGTGCAGCAACATGGGACAAAAAAAGTGAACTCATTGTGCAAAGACTGATGAACACACAATTTTGGTAAACGGTAAATGGACTGCACTTGTATTGCACCTTTCTAGTCTTTGGACCATTCACACACACACTCACACACTGGTGGCCGAGGCTACCATACAAGCTGCCACTCACGATTTTTGTTGATACTTCATTTCTTTAATCATAAGAGCATGGTGCAGAAAAATTCTTGATTTTTCATTTTATTTTTCAAACTATTTTGGCTGACAATGTGTCCAGTTCTGGAATAAATACAAAGTGGTTCTGATGAAACATATCAATATTTCTTATTCTAGTGTGTGTGACTGTCATTTACGTCCCACTGATGCTCTTCGGCCTCCTGGGAAACATTCTGACGATCCTGGTGGTTTGGCGCCGACCTCACATGAGAAGCTCGACTTACCTCTACCTGAGCAGCATGGCTGTTAGTGACCTGCTGATACTCCTACTGCTGCCTCTGGATCTGTATAAGGTACACACACACCTGAGTGTGACAGCTGTGTTGTCATAAAGTGGAATAAAGGTTGAAATGAAAATGTTGTTGTGTCTTCCAGCTGTGGAGGCCCAGACCCTGGCCCTTAGGAGACCTCGCCTGTAAGCTGACGATGTTCCTCTCAGAGTGCTGCACCTTCTGCACCATCCTCCACATCACCTTCCTCTCCCTGGAGAGGTACCTGGCCGTCTGCTGGCCAATCACAGCCAAGACGCTGGTGACACGGCACAGAACAAAGGCTCTGATTGGCTGCCTCTGGCTGGGAGCAGCCGTCAGTGCGGCACCGGTGTTAGTCATGGTTGGAGTGGAGGAGGTTGGGGGAGATGAGCTGGGGCTCGTAGGATGGAGGGAGGACGGAGGGTGGACAGGAAGGGAAGGAGAGCATGCAGGATTTATGATAGGAGGAGGGGACAGAGGAGGTGGACACATGGCCTCAATGAACGGAGGATTAGAGGGAATAAAGTGGGGAGAGAAAGAGAAAAAGGGATGGAGTGAAAGAGATGGTGAGTTGAAATGGTTTGGAGAGGAAGGAGAGAGAAATGTGGGAATAGAGAAAAGAGATGAGAGGAAAGAAGGAGATGGAGGACAAATGAAACTTGTGGATGAAGAAGAAGAAGGAGAGCTAGAAGCTGGCGGAGAGCGGCAAAATAAAAAGAAAGAAGACGAGGGAGGAGGAAGGGAGGAAGGAGGAGAGACTGACAGGAGTGAGTGCCGCTGCACACACTACGCCGTCACCTCCGGCCTGCTGGCGGCCATGATGATTCTCTCCAACTTGTACTTCCTGGTGCCCCTCTGCATCCTGGGGCTGGTCTACAGCCTGATCGGACGGACGCTGTGGCTCCGTCCAAAAAGCAGCCGCAGAGACCAGAGTCACCGGCACACTGTCAAAATGCTGGGTGAGAAACACACAGTCACACACACACACACACACACACACACACCTTCAGGTTTATTATAACAAGAACAAGAACATAAAGAAACAAACGACATAATCACAAAAGCAAACATCCAACAGCTCAGAATTACAGCTGTGTTTATTAGTGTTACAGACGTCTTTCACCTCCTTCAGGTATCAATGATTCTAACATCCTCCTCTTTTTCTCCTCCCCACCCTGTCTCTCTGTGTCTCCGCCTCCTGCAGGAGTGATCGTCCTGGCGTTCGTCCTGTGCTGGCTGCCCTTCCACGTGGGTCGCACCATTTTCTCTTTCACTCTGGACACCGGCTCTGACAGACAGGAGACACACACGGATACAAACTCACACTCGGACATTAACACGCTCTCTGACGTCAGCACGGACAGAAATATCAACACACACACTGTTACTGGACCCACAAGCCCCTCAGACATGGACACACACTTCAAGACTGGGACGACGACTGCGCACACTCACACAGAGGAAGACGACATATCCTGCGACACCTGTGCAAAGGGCGAAATCAACACAAACACTGATGCAGGCACACACACTGCGACACCCACTGACCTGTACGATAACACACACAATGACACAAGCTCCAATGACACACACACACACTTTGACGCACACTTGTATTTTTCATATTATCTGTCTCAGTATTTCAACCTGGTGTCCTCTGTCCTCTTCTACCTCAGTGCCGCCGTCAATCCCTTACTGTACAACCTGATGTCTGCCAGGTATAGACACGCTGTACGCAGCCTCATACACGCACCCTCTCACTTACACTCTCACACACACTCTAACACACCGTCTCTCCGCCTGCGCACATTCACAACGGGTCACTCCACGACCACTTTGTAAGGGCAAGTACCTGACGCACACACTGAACGCAAAAAAGGAAATCAAGTGAACACACTACGTGTTTGAACTTTACCTGCACAGGTGTAAATAATAACATCAATAATGGCTCAAATCCATTTTGTGTATATAAACAAAAACCTACCAAATCATACACATGTTGTGTCATAGCAGAGATTTTGTCAGTTAGAGTTGTGTTAGAGTTTTGTCATCAGTACGATGTATGATTAATAATGACAAAAGTGCCATGATGCGCGATAATTTAACCAGTTAGTGACACTTACAAGTAGTAGTTGGTTTTAGTGTGCGCTGTCTCATTTTAATTAATTTCCCAACATGATTAGGATCAGCACAGTCGCCAGAAGAAAATGTTGGCGTTGTACGTTCCTGTACACATTTCTAAGGGACGTAGTGTATGAGCTGACTTTGTCATCAGGAAGGGAACTGCCCATTGGTTCGACATCCCATTGTTCCGACCATATTAAACCCATTGTTCCGAAGTCTGTTCCGAAATCATCATGATGCCCTGTGGTTAAGGTCTGGTTAGGTTTAGGCACAAAAACCACTTGGTTAGGGTCAGGAAAAGATCATGGTGTGGGTTAAAATGAAAAAGAAAGTGACAAACACATAAGCTGTGAGCCTGCTCCGCCTCAAGCCTTTCCCAGCTGACCCAGAGCTGGTCGCAGCGCACCATCAAGGCAGAAATACGCCCGCCAGGAGCCATTCAGCACTGCGGACCGTCGGACCAATGACATGGACCCATCAGGAAACCCAGTCTCACTCCAAAGTTGTCTAAATCTGGCACTTGGGCATTGACTTGTGGCGTCAGACTTAACGTCGGCATGATACGTGGCTGGTCAACATCGTAATTTAATGGCGCTTGGAGGTGTTGGGGGAAAAGCAGCGGGACAAGAATGAAAGTTAAGGTGGCGGTGTTTGCGTCCTGTAAGATTCTAAAGCCAAAACCTGTCCTTTTTTCCAGAACCTAACTGAGTACCCTGGAAATCCAGGGAGTCACTCTGGCAATCAGTAATGATGCTCATTACCCATGCCGTTGGAGTCGAGCTGCACCAATCACATCGGTGTATCTGATATAGGCGGGCCAGAGGCGAGCTAAACAGATGACGACAGCACTGCGACGACGAAGTCCAGAATCAGTCAGTAAACATTGTAAAATGGCTACAGATGAACACCAGTTGTTAGAAACGGCTTTGGCCGCTACAATGAACGAGTTAGACTTGGCTTTTTCTCTAAAAGAGGAACAGAAGACGGCGCTCGAATCTTTCCTTTGCAAGAAGGACGTTTTTGTTGTTTTGCCGACCGGATACGGCAAGAGTCTAATCTACCAGTTAGCTCCGCTGGTAGCTAAGTTCTGGATACGTCACCCTGTGTATTGTTCTGATTGGTCGTAGTGTTATCCAGTTGCATGCAGTGATATTTTCAAATGCATGCTTGGTGCCGCCCCTCGAGTTGGGCCATTTGCATTACTCATGGCCAGACCCTAAATCTTTCTAGATTTGGGTCTGGATTTCCAGGCTAACAAACCGAGTGCTTTTATTGTTGAAGGAAAAATTGTCATTTTGCAGTGTTGTACCGACGTAGTGCTTTTACTTTGAAAGAGACTGTATGTAAACTGTACATTTCCTGTGAAAACAGAAGCGTATTTTGATAACTGACAATGTATGTAAAAGGCAGAACTTGTCACAAGGCCCAGAACATCAACAACCAACACAACCAGGGTACCTTGGACGTCGTATCTCGACATGGAAAGTCCATGACCAAATGTCGATGTGTGACGAGGTCGGAGTGAGAATGTGTTGCATCATGAGGAGAGATGTCTGCCAAGCTGCAGACCACTGCAGGTCGTCAAATACTGCCGCTGTGTCGGTGAGTGTGAGGGTAGCTGTGCTGCAAGTTAATAGACTGGGAGAGATGAAAGTTTAGTTTGAATCACCAACTCTGTGAGAGGACACCAGTTTAAACCTCCAGACTAACATGTTGCACATGAAGAAACAAGTTATGTTTCTGCTTCTTAACAGTCACATGGATGAGTCAGAGTTTACAATGAACCTGGGGACAAATCCTAGTTGGCTCACATTAGTTATTTGTTGAGAGCATAAATAGAGAGATGTTGAGCTTTTCAAATGATGATCAGTAAGTGTGTGCTCGTAAATCAGCCTTTAAACCTGTCACACACTGCTGGAGACATGACACACACATTATCTTACACAACCTGTCACCTTGATTCTAATTTCTAACACACATGAATCAGCCTCACAAACATAATGACTTAAAGTTAAAATGTCATGAATTTTCATCGACTCAAACTATGAAGGATAAAAATGACTACAATTTGTCTAAAACTAATAAACATGTTTGTCTCAAGATTCAGACTAAATCTAAAATAGCTGTAAAAAATGAACACTGGTTTTGTCCCCAAATGGAAGGCGAGTCCCCACAATGTTACCGTGTAAACAGATTTATGTCCTCACAATGTAAGCAATACACGTACACACACACATGGATTAGGGCTATCATTCTGATTCATGTAGTTTCATTCTTGCTGATGTGTTTTGATGTACCGTGTATCACATTACGTGTCCTGCTGTGTCAGATACTGATATAAATGCCTTTATTTGATTCCCACTGGAGGCTTTGTCACCTCTGCGTTACGCTACGTTATGTCTCCACCCATGTTAGTCTCCCTGTGTGTCAGCAGGAAACACCTCAGGATGGATTTCCTGAAGTGCAGTGGACACATTGGCCTGGCGGCTGAGGGACAATTGATTTGATTGGGTCGTTCTCTGGGAACATTTCTGCCATAAGATCAGGTCCTATATGTTCGTGTATATTTGACGCACAGACTTGATGACAGTATCAGTGTGAGAAATGTATTAAAAAATATTAATTTTACACAGATGCAGTGTGTAATATCATGAAGTGGTAATAAACAAGTTTTTGCTTTAACTTAAGATTTTAAAGTTGCACAGTGTGGTGGCTTCAGAATAATGACACCATCAGTGTACAAGCCTCACAGTTCTGTCTGCCACCAGATATGATCTCCCAAGAACATAAAGGCTCCATTTACGGAAGTGCGTGAACCATTGTGCAACCACAACAGGAAGAGGACAGCACTTTTGTTTTTCACGGTAACTATCGCCAGATATCCCCAGTTAAGAATATCAATGTGAGTTCTAGTTTCTGTCCCCAGTAGTGTAAATGGTGGATGGTAGAGTATATGTAGTAAGTGTGGAAAACAAAACGCAGTGTGTCTGTGTTGTTCATTGTTGCTGGGCTGTGAGTAAAATGGAGCAATCAGTAATATTGGAAACACTGAGGGGAGGTTAGAGTTAGGGGCACTGTGTGACCGTTATTACTGTACACTTTGTAAAATGCAAGGATCTGCCATATTTGTTTAGTGTATTCCTTGGATTTGACAGATGAGGCATCTCCTGGGATCGAAATTAATACATGTTGGCATTGTATGTTTCTGCAAATTACAATTCCATTTGTACATTTCACATCGTGTTATATCAAATCAATGTTTTTGAAGGGCTGAGTGTATGAGGTGAGTTTGTCATCAAGAGGTGGAGGGGTCGGTGGATAGCATTACAGCGAGGAGAAGTTGCAGAGTACCATTTACCAAATGACAAAACTGGTTGTTTTTCCTCGTGACATCCACTTGCACTGCTTTTTGTTTTGTTGTTATTCTGTTCAGATATGTTGCAGCTCACTTTGTATCCTGAAAGCTCAAAATAAAGCTCCTTCATAACAGTACTTTACACTTGAGATAGGAGAAATTAATGATTCTGTGATGCTGTTTACTGCGCAGAGATTTAGGGTGCGTTCCAAATCGCATACTTTTTCTTTTCACCTCTTATATGTACTGCAGCTGCCCCTTTAAAAGTTCATACTGTTGCATGCAGTATGCACACAATCGGGACATACCACTGTCTCATAACACATTCGTTACCTTGGAGATGAAACAAACGCCACTTACCAAGTTTGCCAGAGACAGAGATCAACCCCGAGAGCTCTGCTGTTGTTACTTTGCAATGTATGAAGTATAGTTATAGTATAGTTTATAGTTATGTCCTGTAGTTGTTTGTGATATTTCTAATTATTTTGTTCACTTAAACAATCAATTTTCCTATGATTATTTCTCGACTGGTCATCAGTTACTTTAATGTGCTGTCATCCATCATTGCAGATTCTGACATCTGTCAATCAGCTCAGTTGATGTGACGTATCGTCTACTGCGCAGAGGATTGTGGGTCAGATATCCAGAAAAGCATGCTGGCTTGCAACCTGCAAAGTTGGACCGGATGTAGTAGAACATCCTGGTATTTTTGGCATACTGCCTATGACATACATGTATTGGGACATACTAAATCTTTTTCTGGCATACTATATAGCATGGTAGTACACACAGTTTCTACCTACTGGCTAAGAGAACACAGAGTCTCTTCTGGAAAACATTCATTTCCCCAAATTGACCACCAGAGGTCAGCAGGCTATCGTCTACAGGAGCAGTGAGGAAACAGCCACAAGACACTTATTGTAGTATAAATGAACGCACAAGGTGTTTTCAAAGGTGAAGAAATTACAAAAGTGACACTAATAAAATATTTATATAAACATACACCAACATATACACCTGTATGCATGCCTACATAAACACATGGCTGCATACACTCCTATACACACAATAAGTCAGGCACTGTCAGGAAAGGCCATTCTCTAAAAGTGAATTTTCAGACGAGATTTATAGACGTGAACAGAGTCACCTTGTTTTAAACCTGGACTCTGGAACAGTTGGAAGACCCAGATGAGCAGACCTGAGGGGCCTGTTTGGACGTTACAGTGTGAGAAGCTCAGTTACATATTGTGGTGCCGGATCATTGAGAGCCTTGTGTGTGATTAAAAGCACTTTTAACTGTATTCTAAAAGAGACTGGGGGCCAATGCAGGGAAGCCAAAATAGGCGTGATGTGTGAGGATCATTTTGTTTTGGTCAAAAGTTTTGCTTGAAATTGCATTAAATGGAGCGATGTCAGAGCGAGAGAGCTGCCCCCTGGATTGGCACCCCGAGCAGTTAGCGATCGGATGCCTTGCTCAAAAGCACCTCTGCGGTGCCCAGGAGGTGATCTGGTACCTCTCCAGCTACCAGTCCATACTCCATGCTTGGTTCAAATGGGGACTTGAGCCCGCGACCCTCTGGTTTCCAACCCAAGTATCCATGGACTGAGCTACTGCCACCCCCAAATTAAAGTAAAAGTTTATTGTAATTCCAATCACAGCAGCCCCTCTCTCGAACAGCAGACATTTTAATGAGCAATGAGTGTTCTTCTGAGTCAGCTAGAGTATGTTCTTTTCATGAATTTGGCTGCAAAAGCCAAACATGACACTAGGTGGCAGGCACTCCATTCTTTTACAGTCAATTCTCCCCTCACTGTACATTCAGTATTTCACTGACTGTGTATTCTATATGGTCTAAAGAAAGAAAAGGTAATCAAAACATTTTTATTTCTTTATAGGAATTCTTTCCATAATGTTGTCAGGCACAATCTGAGCAGGGGCCCACATATAGACAGTGCAGGAATGGTGGTTGCATCGAGAGAGTGGACCCTCCAACTACATGTTGGACAGAAATCAGGCCCTTGTGAGTAATTCAGATGCTATTTATGCCTATGTTCAAAGAATAACTCCATTTGCCATTTGCTATATGTGCCTTTGAAAAGGCAAACCCATCTCCATCATGTTTTGTCTTTTTTTTTGTAAAACAGCCAGTAGCAATCTATAACAAAATATGTTATAAAATATGTACATATTCTCCATCAACTAGAAATAAACTATAAAACACTATACAATTAAATGAATAATCCCTTTTTTCTATTTGTATTTTTGTGATAATTTGCATGTTGGTATTATCCAATGTCAAGTCTCTATTTGATCATGTGACCCTAAGATTATACAGCAGCTACTATAACAAGTAGGCCTAACTAGCATGCCTTAGGGCCCATCATTATAGTGTGCACAGGGGCCTGTTGTAACTACCTTACGCCACTGAATCGGAGCCTGTCAGTGGGTGGACGAACATTGATGGTGCGCTTTCGCCCCAAAGCTTATATTACAGCCTGTTTCGCAGCTACAGGCTGCAGCGGTTTCACTCAATACTGGACCAAGTTAAAAAAATTGCTGACCACATTAGTCAAAGTTTCCTTTTAATTAGAAATATTCCTCATTTGCAACGTTTTCATAAAGTCTATAACCTGTATCTGTGCTCAGAACTATGTGACCAGTCATTTCCAAGCACCATAGCTGCATTCCACTCCATTGCTCAACACACACTGTGACATACTGCGCACACAGGTACACATCTACCTCACCGACAAGCAGCCTTATGGTGCTCCCTGCTGTTCTCTTACTGTCCACAGGGTGGAGGGAGTGTAATCTGTGTTCAGTGTGTCCTGATCTGCTCTCAGTGCAGGTCGGTCAGCATAGCAGAGGAAGGTCTTATCTCCGTACTGGCTTTATCTGTAAGTGTCACCTGACGGCTGCAGGAGAGTTTTACCCTGCTTAGATTACAATCATCTGATATCAGCACCTCATCAACAGTTTGACTGTGACAACGCATCAGTCAGGTGCACTGGAGAGATTCTTAATTCACCCACGGGTGAACAGGTGACACCAAATCACTCATAAAAATGAAGGGTTGGTCTGTCTATCTGTGCTCTGTTGAAGATTTCTCTTATCGACTGCATCAGCATCTTGGATCTTAGAGGGTGGAGCTGTGGAGGAGCGAGGGGCAGATATGATTTATAACCTTAATAAAATGTAAATGGGTGAGTTATAAAAAAATTCATCTCCTATAGTTGTCATGAACGGAGAAATCAGCTATAGAGACCAAAACTGTTTTTTTTAGACAATGAATATAAAGGGAAACTTTGCTGATATTGAACCAGCTGTGTATACATTCAGTAGGTTATATCTTCAGTAGCTAGCTAGCTAACCCTACACTTTTCAGGGTTTGATTTTGGTTTTGGAACAGGGAAGAAACGTATATCTTTTTCCAACCTCTCCAGGTAACGAGTCTCATTAATACACGACGTGCCCCAGGCACAACTTTTAGCTCCACATCCACAACACCAGCCTGGAAATGAAGGAAATCTGAAATGATGGAGCGCAGCTGTGTTGTTGTCGGACCCTGGTCTGAGCCGCCCTGATGCTACGTTGTGAGACTTAGCGAAGGGTCAATTGTGACGTACTATTTCATTACAACATTACACCCTCAACTTTGATCCTCTTTCTCAGATATTCATTACCTTGGAGTTAAAACAAAATGCCAACCACGCCATTCACAGTTGTTTTGGACATTCTGATATCTAATGATTTTAGCAAGCTACAGCCATTTTGTTGATGTTTCAGCCTGTACTGATATTGTGGCGCTGTAAGTGGCATTGTTTTCAGAGTATGACACGTTGCACTCTGTCTCTATAGAGGTAACTATATTTACTTGTGCAAGTGGGCACTGAAACTGAACTACTAAATCATGTGTGCCTTAAAATTTTCAATAAACAAAATGTGGGGAAAAAAACATAAAAGGCTGGAATACTATCTGCCACTTTTTGACACTGAAATCTGACAGGTTTGTACCACATATTGTTTTCCAATTCTACTCTTTGTGAACTAAACTGACGGATTATTTTTCAGCGTAACGTTACCCACGTTTGGCCCAGAATCAGTCCCTTTGTGAAGCTTTAAAAGGAGCAGATTGATTCTTGCTTTTTATATGATGCCACACCTCTCCCAGAGGTTACGTTCATTCAGCGCAGACAGTTTGTAACCTTTGCACAATAAACTCCCTCAGCACAGTAAACACATACGGGATTATAGCCGTCTCATTAGCATCATTACTGTCCTCAGGCAGAATGACTACATTTTGTTTTGTTTGCAGTTAAACAGCAGGCAGTAATTCAGCCGGCGAGTCACAAAAGATGCTGTTCTTCCAGCAGTTTTGCGTCAGAGGACCTGAGTGGTTAATACGGTTTGTTGGCCAGTGAAGGGTTTCATTCCTGTCTCCATGGAGAACACCTGAACAGCCCAGTGGTTGAGTCATAAGCAGGAGTGGTGGAGTTCTTGAGAGTGGCTGGTATGCACTTGATATGACATTGATGCAGCCCTGACAACCCCCAAATATGTGAGACAGCCTTCTGGTAATACCTCAGTGTGTTTCCATTTCAAGTATTTTTATGTTAGATAAAGTCTGGTGATGAAGGTAATGACATCTGAGTCATGTTTTATCACTTTTCTTTCATCTGGAGAGTTTCTGCTGCATGTTTCAGCTTGTGTAGCAGCAAACTAAAGAGGACAGGGATTACTGTGAAGGCTAAGGCTGCCAATGTTTCTTTTATTTGTCCATTTTCTCGCTCTATATGTGACAGGATATGCCAGTTAAGTGGATCGCTGGGGCCAGTTAGTAATATGAGTGTCTGGATAGTGACCTGTGACCTGCATGAATTGATGTTTGTTGGCCATTTGGGGGCAGCACAACAAGCTGCAAGCACAACACTGAGTTGACAAGTTAGCTAAAGGCTCGTACACACCAAACCCACATCAAAGAGCTAGTAGAGACGAAGGCCGACTGTTGCGTCACCTCATGTCACCTGTGTCTTGGCCAAAAAATGTCCAGGTTATAGTGCTGAACTGTGTTGCTATGAACTGAACTGTTGGTCAAAATGCACACAGGGAGTGCACGCTGTCTGTGGCGCAAGGTCCTTACTGCTCCGTGCCCAGTGTTTTACTGAACATCCAACATGCAGCTGCTGGTTAAAGAGTTAATACTAAAAATACCTCTCTATGTTCATTCATTCCTCATTTGGTTTGTTGGAATCTGGTCACCAAATTGTAAAGTTTGGGGCTTTAAAACAAAATAATGAGCTGAATGATGTAAGAACACCAGACAGAGCTCAGGGTAACTGCAGTCAATTGATCATTTTCCATTGGTTTGTTACTACAAGCAACATCTTTCACATTACACCCATCCATCCATTTTCAACCGCTTATCTGAAGCCGGGTCGCAACCTCAACCTCAATCCAGCCAGCACAAACCCCAGCTCCATGGGACCAGACAGCTCCAACTCCATGCTGGATCAGCAAACTTTCGGTTGCTGCTGTTACACAGGTTTGACCCAGTGCTGCCACTGGCTACCAGACCACTGTGACACCCCGCACTGGAATGTTTGAACAGAACGTTCCAGACGTCCTTCTCCCCCATGCAGGCGTTCCCAGATGAGATATGTAACCCCTCCAGCGTGTTCTGGGTCTGCCCCGGGGCCTCCGAGGTAGTATGGATCATGAAATATATCAGTGGTTTAGCGCAGCGTCTGCAGTGCTGCGGGCACTGTGCCAGACCGTCATAGTGAAGAGGGAGCTGAACTGGAAGAAAAAAGCTGTTGATTTACTGGTCCATCAACATCCCAACCCTCACCTATGGTCATGAGCTCTGGGTAGTGACTGAAAGAATGAGGTCGTGGATACATGCTGCCAAAATGAGTTTCCTCAGAAAAGTGTCTGGGCTCAGCCTTAGAGATAGGGTGAGGAGCTCGGAGTAGAGCCACTGCTCCTTCACATTGAAAGGGGTCAGTTGAGGTGGTGTGGGCATCTGATCAGGATGCGTCCTGGGAACCTCCTGCTAGAGGTGTTCCAGGTACCTCCCACTGGATGGACACACTATTTTTCTCCATAATTACACTGGTCAGTTTAACTTTTCCTTTGGCCAAATCCAAAAGTGCTGAAGTGGTGAACATACAGTTGAAGTTTTATGTGCAGCTCTGCCCTGAAGGCAAACTCCTGTCATGAGGCTCATGAATGCTAAGAGTGTCAGAAGGTATTTGTGTCTTGTGCTGTGTTGATAAAGAACTGTCTGTCTGCATTCCTTACCACTACTGTAACCACTGTGCGTCAGCCTTTTTCTGAAGTCTTCTAATTCCTATATCCAGAGAACAAATTCTTTGGATTGTCTGAGATCTTTAGTTTGTATGGCAACAGGTGGGGGGGGGGGCTCTTTGGTCAAGGCTTGACAACATTTATTGGTCAGTTACCAATCAGCCATCTGGAGTCCTTCAGCCACTATTGTTGATCATAATGGGAGTGCCAGAGTAATAAATGCTCTTCTTTGGCCCAGAAGTGGAGATTGTAATGACATTAAAGTATTCAGTCAGTGGACTGCTGCTTAAGAGTCTTACATAATTCGAAGAACTCTCAATGGATGGCACACAGAGATGTGTGTGTTCAGCTGACTGTGTGTGTAGCCTGTTTTGGCTCTTGGGAGTTTGTGTGTCCACCAGTTTGGTGCAGACTGAAATATCTTAACAACTATTGGTTGATATTTTCACATTCATGGTCTCTAGAGGATGGATGAACAGGATTTACACCTGCTGAACATCAGCAGGGACATTCTGGGAACTCTCTCAGAGAGCTCCTAACTCAGCCAAATATTTTTAGCAAGGAGTCCTAGCTCAGGAGGGATTTAGGAAAATTCTCAGAGCAACTTTGAGCAAGGAAGGGACAGAAACTTTTACCTTAGTGAGGAGGTGTGGTTGACCCCATTGCTAGGTATGATGCATTCTTTTAGTAGTTGTGATTGATCGCCTCTTTATGAACCAGCAAGGCGTGGACATTCAGTGGAAATGAAAAGAACTGAGTCACAATACGAGACTGTGTAAAGCTGAAAACACCCCTGGCACACACTGGGAGCATCAGGTTGCAGCTCGTCAACAGATGACCACGCAAAGTTATTACTACTTATACTGAAAGATCTGTACTTCCTCCACCTCTGTGTTAGCTCAAAATCATGTCTGGAGAGGCCCAAATTAAACTATGTTTCTCACCTGAAGAGCTGATCTCCAGAGCTATGACTCACCAGTAAATATCTTTTTGGCCGTTGTCTTTATGATAGGATTGTGGGTTGTTTAGCTCGGGACCTCAACGACGAATCTCTCCTCATCCAGTCTTCATCACACATCAGACACAGCAACAACAACAGAGTTCTCTTTGTGCATCAGTGTTGAGGAAAGGAGTCGAGCTGCCATAGGAGCAGAGAAGAAGAGCTACTACGGGAGCTGGTATGTACAAGCTAAGAGTGAGTGGGTGAAAAATACATTCTAGGGGTGGCAAGGCTGGAAATAGGACAATGGCATAAAGTGCAACAGGGCAGCACGTCCAGGAGCACCCATGTGTTGTACATTAGAAATTATAGAGTCGTATTTTTTAATGCGTGGTGCTTGCCACTGGTGTGTTTTGGCCTTAAGCGCTGTCACAGTTTGATTGATCACTCTGCTGATGGAACGTTGCGACAGATCCAAAAAATCACTGCAGCACTGTTCCGTTTTCAAGTTGCAACCTCAATCCAGCCAGCGCAAACCACAGCTCCATGGGACCAGACAGCCCTGACTCTATATTGGATCAGCAAACTTTCTGTTGCTGCCGTTACACTGGCTAGACCTGGCGTTCTGCTGGCCACCAGCCCATTGTGACACCCCACGCTGGAGGGTTTGTGCCAGCCAAATTCTAGCCACTACAACCTCCATCCAAGGGTGACTCTCCAGACTGCTGCCTGGTCTCCTGGGGAAGCAGTCCACAGTGGGGGGTAGCGAGGCGAAGGGATTGTGGGGTGGCTAGCAACTATATTGTCTCATTTGTGGTCTTATAATCAGAGAGAGAGGGGCAAAGAAAGAGTGAATGAGCTGTGTGCAACTCTACAATTCAATAAAATTAAACAATTCAGTGTATAGCAAACACTGAGTTACTGTTTGATGCCCTGCATATGCCGGTGATCACCTGGCTAATCCAGCTTTAAAAGTCTTCCGCCCCTACTTCTAACAGTTTTTCACCTTCTGCGCTTTCTTCAGAGCTTGAATGTTTGGTAAATAACTTTAATCCTTCCCAGGATCGAGTCTGAACTGTGAGAGGAAAGAGTTTCCTTAGAATTAAGTCAACAGGAAGCTTTGTGAATACGGCCCCAGCACACTGTCATTGTGAGCATGTTAGCATACCAACATTAGCCTTTAGCTCAAAGCACGGCTGTGCTAAAGTACAGCCTCACAGAGCTGTGGACTCTTAGCCTTGTTCACATGATGCCTAACTTGACTGAAAATGTACAACTGTGCAGGAAAAGAATGAACTGATGCTGTGGCTGAGATTAAATACCAAAGCTTTGTGAATCAAAATAAGCAGCGTCTCGTCAAACCTTCACAAATGCCCTTTAATTGTTATATGAAAAGAGATGACACGTTCAACGCAGGTGTAGGTGTTGGCCTGCATTCTACGGTGTCACATTTATGGACTAATATCATTGTCAACAATGAACGGCACCTGGGGGAGGAACCACACCTACAGGCGTCAGAGGATTCATCTTTACTGTTCTGACGAGGAAAATGGAAACTAAATCAGTGTCAAGATTTTACGGAGAAACATAAATGTCACTTGTGTCAGCTGTTTCAGCGCTACTGGGAATACAAAAGGTTCGAATATGACCCGTGTGGTGTGTGATGTGAGTATTTGATAAGGTCAAAACATCTGATGTTAGTTTGTCAAACAGCTTTGTGACTGTAAAGAACATCCGTGTGTTCGATAAGATAAAGAGCATTTGATGTTTTTATTGTCGTTACATTTGGGTGGGAAGAGGATGTTGCAGGATCATGAAATGCCACCCAGGAAAGAGCAGCCATCTTCCAGGGAAAAGTTAAGTGTGTTTTCACTTTCTTGGAAGGGCCAGCATCATGTGCGTCAGATTGTAAAGTTGTTACCTGAAACAAACTCACACACACACACACACACACACACACACGCTCACTCATGGGTAACCTGGGTCAGGATCATATTAAATTATGATTTTCATGATTAGAGGGCAAAAATTAGATAAAATTATGAGCAAGAACAAGGTGATGAAAGTGTGAAAGTGATCATGAATGATGGTCAAAGCTTTTCAGATGATGATCAGTAAGTGTGTGCTCGTAAATCAGCCTTTACACTTGCCAAACACTGCTGGAGACATGACAGTTTGTAAGTGTGTAGAAATTATTTAAATTCAAATTTTTATACAACCTGTCACTTTGATTTTAATTTCTCATACATGAATTAGCTGCACTGGATTACCCATCCATTCATTTTCCTCCGCTTATCTGGAGCCAGGTCGCGGGGGCAGCAGGCCAAGCAAAACACCGCAGATGAAAGCAACACTTTCCAGCTCCTCCTAGGTGTTCCCAGATGAAATATATAATCCTTGCAGTGTGTTCTGGGTCTGCCCCGGGGCCTCCTACCTGTAGGACGTGCCTGGAACACCTCTAACAGGAGGCGCCCAGGAGGATCCTGATCAGATGCCTGAACCACCCCATCTGACCCCTTTCGACGTGAAGGAGCAGCGGCTCTACTCCGAGATGTCCGAGCTCCTCACCCTATCTCTAAGGCTGAGCCCAGACACCCTACAGAGGAAACTCATTACGGCTGCGACCTCATTCTTTGGGTCACTACCCAGAGCTCATGACCATAGGTGAGGGTTGGGATGTAGATGGACCAGTAAATTGAAAGCTTTGCCCTCTGCCTAAGCTCCATCTTCACCACGACAGTCCAGCCGATCTACCTCATGTTCCATTTTATCCTCACTCGTGAACAAGACCCCAAAATACTTGAACTCCCTCGCTTGATGCGGTAACTCTCTCCCAACCCAGAGGGAACAATCCACAGGTTTCCATCAGAGAACCATGCATGGCCTCAGATTTGGAGGTGCTGACTCTCCTAACTGGATTAGTTTAACCCTCGAAACCTGGAGCGACATCACTTCAGATGCCTTTTGCAAGTATTTAAACCTTTGAAACCCTGAAATTGGGGAGATTTCTTCAAACAGATGGGGAAAAAGGCAATGGACAACTTGCTAAAAAAATCCACACAAATTGTACCCTTGAAATCCAGAGTTCTCATGAGAGCACAATTTGAATTTGCTCAGCGAGTCACTCTGGCAATCAGTAATGATGCTCATTACCCATGCCGTTGGAGCCGAGCTGCACCAATCACATCGGTGTATCTGATATAGGCGGGCCAGAGGTGAGCTAAACAGATGACGACAGCGCTGCGACAACGAAGTCCAGAATCAGTCAGTAAACATTGCAAGATGGCTACAGATGAACACCAGTTGTTTGAAACGGCTTTGGCCGCTACAATGAACGAGTTAGACTTGGCTTTTTCTCTAAAAGAGGAACAGAAGACGGCGCTCGAATCTTTCCTTTGCAAGAAGGACGTTTTTGCTGTTTTGCCGACCGGATACAGCAAGAGTCTAATCTACCAGTTAGCTCCGCTGGTAGCTAAGCTCTGGATACGTCACCCCGTGTATTGTTCTGATTGGTCGTAGTGTTATCCAATTGC